AACGTTTTCAACCAGTTCGGGACCTTAAGGCAGCCATAACAACACAGCTAAAGACACGAGAGAGGACTTCCAGAACTGCTTCCAAAGATGGTAAGAATGGTGGGATAAGTGGGTCTAAAGCAAGGAGGATTTTGAAGAGGATTTATGGAATGTGTCTTTTGCTATAGTTTAATTTTAATTTTTTTAATCTTTTTATTAATTTTATTGAGAATAATTTTAATTTTTTAAACACTCACCATATGTATTTTTCAGTCACGCCCCATATCTTCTCAGAGGGCGCAATTCAACACAACTACTTTAGCTCGTAAAAACAAGACAGAAACCAATATCCGTCACTGGATGGTCTCTGGAGCTGAATAAAGACCACAGTGACTCCATGGCTGTCCTGACCATACCCAAGGGCAATCAGAGCCAATGCCTGAGCTGTCACCATGAGCCCCACTACAGGAAGGAGGGTGTAATGGTAGCCACCCAGCACATGGTGACGAACTGTGGGTGAGGTCATGCTGGCGCCTTTCATTTATGCATACACAGAATCCTGCTGGGCAGTCAGCAAACCATCTCCTCGGCCCACCAGGTTCCATGCATGCCTGACCATGACCGTGGAATCACCAAGGAAAATTTCCCGCTCCTTTTTCTGCTTCCCTATCCCAAAGCACCATAGCATGGCCTGGCTCCAGCCTCCCTCCGAGCGTTCACTTCTCCGCCCTCCACCCCCCACAGGCTGGAAATAGTGATACGCAGTCACCTCACAGGGCTGTTGGGCAATTTAATTAATGTTTAGAAAGCACTCTGAGGTCTTCAGATGAAAACTGCTGTGTAAGTGCAAAATTATTATTAGTTCTCAGCCTCCTGTCCCCTGACTTCTGACACGGGCTTTTGTTGTTTCTGAATGAGCACCATTTACCGGCTGTCCAGCTGGCTCTTTTGGGGACACAGGCAAGTACACACACATTTGCAGAATTTTTTTTTCCCTTAGAAAAATGCATTCTGACTCTGTGGGATGTCTCAAAGCTTTTCAATGTCTGAATTTCTCTGTACTTGTCTCTACTAAGTACTGTAATCTGCAAGAGTAGATTGTAAACAGGCTACTTTGGCAAAGAGTGAGAGGGGAAAACGGTCAATTTGGAGAAATAGCCCCTCTGATAATGAAGAAAAAACAATATCTCCTTCTCATGCAGAATCTAAATGAACCACTAAATGAGTTCTGGCTGCCTTGCCCAGAGGGGTTCTGGATGCATTTATGCATTGAAAGGAGAAAGGAATAGAAGAGTTGCTTTTAGTGCCCAAGTTTTGCCTCCTTCCTCTACCCGCACTTCTCAGGAACCATGGAAACAAGTACACCAGGCCTAGACCATGTCTTCCTGGAAGTCGTTTGTTACCTAACTGTGCACTGCCTAGAAGCCCACAAGAATGAAATGAAGAATGGAAATGGAAAGAGGCTTGTGTGCAGGTGGAGTGCCTTGTCTCTGGGGGACAGAGGAGGGCTGCTGTGCAATTTGTCAAGTGCTGGGGCAACATACAGTGTCATACAGCACCACCTGCCTTTGTCTGTGATGTGCGCATACACACTACCCACACGCCAACCATCACACTGTCCAGAAGGTATCTCTTGACTTCCCAGCATTCTTTGTTGGTAGGCTTGCTAGCCACCCAACTCCTGGAAGAGTTCATTTTTAAAGATCACTAAGGAGCAATTATGCAATGCATTACCAGTTGGACAAAACTATGAAGGCTCCAAATCCAAAAAAAGAACCCGATGTTGGTTACATGGTTCTAAATACGTAAAGTATTAAAGCAGAAGAACTCAGTGATGCCTGGCATGTTTTCTTAGTCAACTAATCACTGATGAGATAAAATAACAATATAAAAAGAAAACCAGATTGTTCTTCCGGGGCAGGAAAATTGAGGTGGGAATGAGAGGAAAGAATGCAATCATTCAGAGCCATGAAAAGTCTATGACTACCACAGTGAAAGTCTTACCAGTTATAGTGACAGTTGGGAAACTTGAAGCCATTTTCAGGGGCTTATGATTCAGTTCTGCCTATTGTGGAAAGGTAGAGGTAGAAGGGAAAGGCCGTTCTTTTCCATTCTACTATTTTATAAAGGAAAGGAGACCTTGATACAAGGAAAAAAGATAAACAACAATAACAAAAACACATGTGCAGCATCTAGGATATAAGAAACCCTGGAACTGAGCATTGAAAAGATCTTGTGGGCAAGCCAACCAGGTTCCCTCGGTCTGCTCTCGCCCATTCTTGCTCACTTCTCTGGGCTGTCAGATCTCCCACGTGGTCTTCCAACCTCCCATCTCCACCACCTCTTTCACTTAGTCCTCCTCGCTCTCCTGGTTTTTATCCCAAACATTGGACCTAATGCTCTGGTACCCCAAGTCAGGATCCCTCAAGCTCTCTCATAACTTGCCCATCTTGCCTCACTGCTTCCCCCTGCTCCACCACTGAAGCCCGGGCCTCCATTTCTCAAGTTCTGCTCAAGCCTGCTCTCTACCTTCTGGCCTTGAACACTGGGCCTCACCATTCCCACCATCATTTCCATTGCTATCATGCAGCATCTCGCTTCTCTTTCAAATCCAAGTAGGTGGAGTAAGCTCTGAGAAACACTGTAAAGTATTTCCAGAAGACTCTGGACACTTCCACACTGTGTGTATTGTGCGTGTATGATTCACACATCTGTGTCTCCGCTACTTTATATAATATTAAGGAAAACAAGTAACTGCATATGCACTGAGCTCATTCCTCTATCCAAAGCTCCTTTTTTAACTTTTACAGACTGTGTATTGGAGTATTTTGTCTGTCCAGCCAATATAGTATACTTCTGCTTAATTTCACTCATCAACACACACACACACACACACACACACAATACAAAAGAGCGTGCAGTAGATTTTTTAAAAATTCTTATATAGTTTAAAGGTGAAAATAAGCACATTTAGTCTTGAGAGGACAATAAATAGCAGTAATAGACTCTGAACAAAGAACTCACTGATTGAAAATCTGATCGACCAATTATGTCAAATTAGGTTCTGTAAATAATTGGTAGTTTAAAAATTATGAGGAAAAATTACAGATGAATTAAATAAATGGCTCCTAAGTTAAGGCTTTTGGGCCTCTGGCTATTTTTATAAAAATAAAATGTCAAACTATTACCCAGTTAATGCTGAAGCTGCCGGTGAGGAGAGAGCCAGGGAAGCGGACTGAATGCTGCCGAGCCTCCGATAGGCCCTGTACTATGAAGCCTGAGCCTCAGCCCCACTTTGCTGCCTCAGTGTCCACAGTAATTGAGCCCTGCAGGGCTCCAGGACTGTGGCCCAATCTGTTCTATGACTAAAGCCACTGAGTATTATTATGAACACAGAAAACTACATGCTATCTATTGGAAGGCTGTGACACTGACACCCAGTCTGTCTTCGTGTCCTGAGACATCCCAAGGCAAGATGATTATAACTGTAGATCTAATTCCGTAGACAGAAGATGCCTGAGAGAAGCTTTCCCTGACAGTAGGACAGAATAAATAAGGTCCGTGAAAATCTACCACACTCTAAATTTTCTTGATAGGACCCAATTAGAAAATCCATTCAATTTTCTTCATAAATCAGCCTTCCCTGCCCTTGTACCCTCCCCCCACACCCCTACACTTTTTCCTTTTTTTCCTTTGGTACTGGAGATTGAACTCTGGACCTTGTGCTTGCAAGGCAAGCACTTATACCACTGAGCTATCTCCCCAGCCCCAATACCTTTTTCATAGATCACATACTTGGTTACAAATGTTGAGTTGACCCAAAGGCAGAGTAACCCAACCAGGAACAGCCTCCTTTCTGGTCTCTCTTGCACTGTAACACTGATGGCCGCGGAACACTTAGCTAATCCCCTAGGCACCCTCTGAGAGCAACACAGGAACCCACCAAGTCAGTCTGTTCCTTTTCACAAAGCCATTTTCTAGGAGATTCACAGCCTCTGACATTGTCTCCACCTTCTTGCCTCCCTTCTTGTTCAGGTATCGACTTACTGTTTGCTAGACCCTGGGCTCAGTTGCTCCACATAACATCTCACTTAATTGTCACGATATACTTACTGGGTATACAATATTCCTGTTTAAAGATCTCGTACCTGCACTTTAGAGTAGTAGGTCCCAGTCCAAGGTAGTACAACTCCAGGTGGATAAGAACTCAGTTCTTAATCAACCTGCTAAGTGATCGCTCCAGCACTCACGGTAAAGCATTTGAGAATGCAGTTAACTTTACCGAAAGGGAACCTACAGCTTTTACAGCCATTTTATGTGCATTGATCTTTGTAAAGAGCCATTCACCTATGATGCTTTTCTGATTATCATAACCAGTTGTACAGATTACTCTCAATACTTGGGGGCTAAAGGACCTATTTAAGAATCTTGAGTAAAACTCCATGAGTCCCAGGTTCAAAGTCCCTAACATTACACACCCTTCTGAGACAGAAATGCTCTCTTTCTATCCCATCCTTGTGGCCATGCGTGTCGGGGGTCGACTGTGTGCTGAACAGAGGGTGATGCAGTCCGAGCGCCTTGGAAAGGAGGGATGCTTCCTCTGGGAGATCAACCCTACTTCCCAGAGGAAGGGCCACCAGGGCTCATCTATTTTCTCTCCAATCCATCTTGGTTTCTGTTTTCCAGCAGAACAAACTGACATCCTAGAACTCATCACAAAATCTCACGAGTACTTGGAAGAAGAAAAAAACCAAAACATTTCCTATTCACATGCACACCTTTAATACCAGGAAAGTGATGACAGAGACAAAAAATACTAAATCAACTCAGCATCCCCTTCACTCTCCAATATTGGCATACAGAAGGGAATCCACATGGAAGACTACAGGACTATTCTCTTTGCAGCCCTCTTTGTTCTGAGTGATGGAGAACACAAGAAATACACCATGATAATAGCAAGGATAACTAATGACCAGTGGAGTGCTGAGTTTGTATAGTACTTTATGCCTTTTCAAAGCATGTTCACATATATTATTTTAATCAACCCATATAACAGCCTTCAATTTTACAACTGATGATGAAGGAACCATAAAAAACTTGTCCAAACTCATACAGGTAGGTAGTGAGACATTGGGGACTAGAATCAGATGACGTGGTTGGTCTAGTATTCCAAACAGATCACTCAATAGTTCTTTATCTTCTCTGTCCTACTGTCACTCCCTGAATTCTTCTCCCTCTCCACATCCTAACTGCTTGACAGTTAGCAGTGCTATCTAACTAGATAGATTTCAAAAGAAGAAAAACACAAATCCTTCTTGGATAAGTACACATAAATATAAAAATAAATGTGGCACTCTTCTTTATTGCTTCTTTATGGGTGTCTTTCCCAGATGTAAAGGCCCTTTGGGGACCAGTCCACCGATCTTTCACTTCTATATAAACATAATCATCCTTAGTAATAGCAGAACCTTCACACCAGGAAATTATTTGACAAATATTTCTCACTATCTCACAGCTTGGCCTGTCAATCTTTCACAGATGTAAGATAAGACATCTGGGCTGGTGCAACAAAACACAGAAAATTCAAAGAAATATTTCCCAGATGTGGAAGAGGATAGCTGTCCTTAGGAATCAATCACAGGGCCAGCTCCGGGTATTCAAATTTCCCAAGACCCGTTTCCAACTGCATCTCACTATAGCTTTTGTGCGACTGAAAGAGTGTCCAAGAGGTTGACCAGATAGCTGCATAAAATCCAAGATGGCAGCCGTGCAGAAGTAGCAATGGCCCATGCTATGTGATCACGTGATGGTTTTCAAGACCCCGCAAGCACAAAGTGGGTGGGATCCTTTCAGATGTTCTCAGTCAGATGAAAGACCTCACAGGCAGGGTGTCATCTTCTAGGTGGGGCTCATTCTTCTCTTGTCCCATGGCAGCCTGGCACAGCACTGAGCCCTTGACTTCAAAAACCCAGCGGAAATCCTGTTCACACCACTTCTGTCTTGTGAAGAGTCACTGGCCCCAAATACTTATTTGGGGAGGCGACCGGGAAAAAAGCTCGCTCCATACCAGGTTTAGAAATGTCTGGGAAAATACTCTGTAGTCGTGCAAATTTCTGAAAAAAGTGGAATAAAAAAGAGAGGTTGAGGTGTGAATAACTGAGTAGAGGTGGCAGCAGCCACCCGGTCCTGCAGAGCTCACACAGGGATTCACGTGGGCAGGCCTAGTGCATGGCTCCCTTCTCTCATGCTGCACAACACTTGTGCCATTTCTTTTGCATGCAGAGTTGCTGATTCTGGATTACAGCCATTTCAGACCCCTGCTGGAGATCTGTATGGAAAACTGGAGCCTACAGAAGCAGGCATTTGCCAGCAAGAGGCTAATATCACTCATGTTTTAGAATCTGCTATCTGGAAAAGGGACAGATACATCTCCTAGGTGTCTGACCTTACATCCTCACCTACAGGGAAGACTGGGCCTCTGTCCCGGGCTGGTGGAAGGTCTCACGTGACCTCACTGCTGTTACTACATGACCTTCTAGATTTTAGTGGGCTCTTTGGACATCTCTCAAGCTTACTTCATTTCCTTGTCAAAGAGTAGACAAAAAAACAAGCTGGAATCATTTTGGGGAGCTTCCTATCATGATCTTTCTAGTGTGGGGCCCTCAGTCCATCCAGAGATAGGAAAATCATCACTTTCCCCATTATTCAATCATTTGCACTAATACAGAGCATATTGCCATGGGCATTCCTAGGTGATCTGTTCATAGTAATAGATGCTTTAAGCAGTTACTTACACAAGTGAAAATGATGAGTGTTAAGTAGAAAATGACCAGCGAAAAGAGCAGGACAATCTCAGCTCTGTATTTTCTGAATGTTGTTTCTTTAGGTTCCTTAAAGCATCCTGTAAAGAAAGGTAATATATGAAACCATTTTAATACGATTTTTCTACCGTAATACAAGGCTACCTCCAGCCCAACCCATTGTCACCCATGCCTTCTCTCAGGTTTGGGCATCAGGCATGCCAGTCTGTCCCCAGCTGTGTACCATGGGATATGTACACATTGTGTCCTCCATCTTCAGAGCAGCTCTGAATCCCCACATTACAGGAATAGCAGCTGAGGCTCAGAGGGCAAGGACTGGTATACTTGACAGGGACAGGCGTTCAAGTGGAAATCAGGCTTGCCTGGCTCTCATCTGCACCTCAGGTGGTCCCCCATTTGTTCACCCGTCAGTTCCCTTGATTGACTTCTGCTGTGTCTTCATCTCAGGAGGATTCGTAACTATGAAATCAGGCAGGAACTGCCTTACTACTGCCAAAGAAAGTCCACCCATTTTGGAAGAATCTGAGCTTTTCCATGACCCCAGGGCTCCGTGTCCCCAGGGACTTTGAGGGCTATGGCTGTACCACTTGGAAGAGGGTGACCCAGGGGACACCACTGCACTACACAGCAAGTTTGGCATGGGCTGTGGTGTGGTTGCTAAAGGAATCTGTTTATGGCCCAAGCAACAGATGGTAGGCAGATGACCCCAGGGAACTCCTCCCCTGGCACCTTCAGGTTAGAAACTAGACCCCAAACTACATACAATAGCCCAGGGATGGCTTCTCACTGGGGTCTGCACCTCAATTAAAAGGGACAACAGCCACTGCCACAAGGGAGCCTCACACTGACTGAGCACCTAGGCTACCTCCTCTGCTGCCCTCCGCATGTGGATGCAATGGCTTGTTTAACCTTAGGGAAGAGTTCAGGGGGTGGATATTATTGTCTCTTTTTAGAGATGACACCACTGAGGCTTTGGGTAGCTCAGTGAGGTGCCCAAGGCCACAGGCTGATTAGCAGCAGGGTCAGCTTGTGATCCAGAACTGAAGGATCCCAGTCTGCCTCAGAAGAGAAAAAGGGGAGACAATCGTCCGTCCTCTGATCACTGCTGCCTGCTCTCCACAGGGCGTGCTGCCCTTCTCCCTGCAAGGCAGCTCTCATTTCCCTTCCAGGTGAGTGAGGTTCGGCGAGGGCCTCCTATGTGCTCGGGCAAGCAGAAAACAAAACAGTTCTTCCTTTCTTGGAAGTGGACAGTAAACAAATCCGTGCATATGATGGTAGGTGTCACAATGTCACAAGGACACACCACAAATGGGTAAAGGGCCAGGGATGGGAGGGGGCAGTAAGGGTGTTTGTGTGTGTGTGTGTGTGTGTGTGTGTGTGTGTGTGTGTGTGTGTGCATGTGTGCACACTACATGGTGACTGAGTTCTTGTGAGTTTCAGAATATTACTTTACCTCTGACTAGTCTCAGATAACTGATACTAAGAGAAAGTAGCTATAGTGTAAAACCAGGGGTTCTAGCACAACATGCCTGTCATTTCCAGACTTAACCCTTAACAAGTGTTGGGCAAAAGTCAATGCATAGTTTAGACCACATTAAAAAAAAATGTTATGACATTCTTGCAATGGAATTCAGCCATTGGCACAGAGGTGACACCAAGCTGTAGTTAGGTTCCAAACGAGAAGGTGGGTCTCAGGACCTATAGGAAGTGCCATGCACTCTGCCAAAAGCAAACAAGCACAGCAAGTCACCTTACCTATCACTTTCAGAGTCACCACACCGCTGAGGTTCCTCTGGCCTCCCAGCTCCTGCAGAGTACACCTGTACGTCCCCGAGCTGCAGCTGGTAGTGTTCTGGATCTTCAGGGAATAGGGCTTTTCTTCAGGGGCTTTGGAAGAGCCGTTTTGTGTTCTCTGATCATAGCTCTGTCCACCAAGGTGTACGTCTTCCTGGGGTGACTCCACTCTCTCCTCGCCACCCTCTGTGAGCTGTGGAGAAACAATCAGCACATTGTGTTGATACCAAGGTTTTGCATCTTGTCTTCCAAAAAAAACATCCAAAAGTCATGTTTCTGAAGTAGGAGGTGTTTGGCTTTTGTTTGTATGTGTGAACTCCAAGGGAGAAAGATAGAATCTATAAACATCCTTTTAGCCTGTATTTTCTTTGGAATAAAGTCAAGACTGCATTTTATAATTCTAGTACCAGTAGCCTAACTTCCAATCCTAGAAGGGAGAGAGTGACAGGTTTTTAATTTTGGACTCCTAGCCTTTTATTTGGAAAAACTCTTAAATCTGTTAAGATAGTTCCAGACAACTGAACTGCAGAGGGGAATGCAGCTGAGCCGGGCCTGCGAACTGTCGCCTTCTTCCTCCAAGGCTGTGCACATGCATGCTCATGCCCCACTTCGAGGGACGTGCCACACTTTTCTCTACGCTAAAGCAGGAAGAGAGGGAAAGAGCGAGCTCTGTGGTGGTGCCTCTGGTCAGATCGTGATGTGGTCGTGGCCAGCAGCACATGGGAAGGCAGCCACAGGCACAGCTCAGTACCCAAGTAGACAAGCTACCTCTGGGACTCAAGTGGTGGAACGTTTGCACCATCTCCTACTTCGAAGATGCTCCACACACCACATCCACCATCAGTTGGGTCTATGGTGGCATCCGGAAATGGCCAGCCTCCTGTCTGGGGAGCATTTTGCAGCTTTTATCTGACATTTAAGAGGCACTCAGGCTGGGGGAACAGACAACCTAGGGATGTGGGGATACCCTCTGAAAGAAAGTGCATGATGCAGGTGCGTGTGAGCAACACTCACAACACACACAAGATTCATTTCTGCTTCACATATTTAGTCTGGGACTGTACCATAAGGTCACACAAAGCTCAAGTCCCACAGCACTCCCTGTGCTGTCAGGCTGGTAGAGTGGGCTACAGAGACATCTGGTGGCAGATTTATCACTCACTCTTCACAGCCACTGAGAAGAAAGGCTCTTCCCATGTGGAGTCTCTATACATAAATCCCATTTCCCGGGGTTCCTGCTTGTGCTTAAAAGATTTTGCTGAACAGTCCAGAATCTATAAGAGGAAGTCAGAAAACTGGGGCCTCTGATATTCAAGAGAAAGGAGAAAAGCAGAGATGGCCAAAGAAGCTTGGAGGAAACAAAAGGTGTCCAAATGATTCCAGAACACACCGAATTTCACACAAGTTTTTTTTCCTTTCCAAGCGTAAGGAAACCACAGACTGTGGGCTCAGCTTCACAGCTCAGCTGAGGTGCTTCCTCCCACCAAGCAGGGCTTTGGGGGGCCCACACAGAGCACCAACCAGTGCCAGAGCTGCTCCTGAGGGCAGCATGAGCAGACCAAGCCACCCAAGTCTCCGCACTCCCCACATTCCTCCTTTCTAGTTTACCTCCAGACACAAATGGCTCCAACAGCCACCTAAGGCTGGTCAGGCCCTCGTTTTCTCCCAGGGAGCTGCTCCCATCCAGTCCCCTGGAAAATCAGGATCAAAACTTCCCAAGGCCCCTGGAAGCTCCTCTTCACATAAAGATGGCCCCACTGCCCAGCTAGCTCAGGCAATGAGGTACTGGTGATCAGAAGCGGTGAGCATCAGCTTTCTCCCTGTTCTCAGGGAGGAGCGCATCTTAACAACCAGCAGCTACTTCAACATACAGACAGGCATGTTTGATGATTGGATTTCCATTGGGCCTCTGACAAAAATTCCAGCCTCTGGTTATTTTTAAATGGCAACACAAAGGCAAGGTGAGGCTTTCAGGACAGTATGAAAAACTAAAGGGAATTATAAACAAAATGTTAAAGCAACCTCCTGCAGAGCTAGGATTTGCTGAATTAGTGCAGCCATGGGTGGGACCAGGACAAAGCAACTCAGGTCTCCTATAGGCATCTCCCGAAGATCCTCTCTCCTGAGTGCAGCGAAGAGCAGGCGAACTAGCCTGAGAACTCCAGCCACGCTAACGAACAGCACTTCTTGCCTTGCAGCTTGACTATATTAGCATCCCCTCTTATTGAAAAGGGGGCATATTCCAAGACCCCCAGAGGTACCTGAAGCCTTTGATAATACCAGACCCTAAATATAATTTTCATGTATGTACATACAAACAGTTACTGTATGCAAATTGGTTTGTAAAGTATGTTTTACAAATTAAGCCCCCATTTCCCTCATGTTTCCCTCCAGAAATGTATGCCTTTTCCATCTGTATGAGGTGTAAAGTAGAAGTCACACAAGAAGTATTTTTCTCTTTCACAATTTCAGGGATAGGAGATCAGTTATAATTATAGATTTTAGCAATTTCAGCACAAGATTTTGTTTCTTTTCCTTATTAATTGGAGAACTTTCACCTTTTCACTTAAGCTTCTCTTTAGTTTATGTGAACTGTTAGCATCTCTAGTCTCACACTCTGGGGTCATTTTATGAAATAAAATATGGGTTACTCGAACACAAGCCCTGTGATACCATAATAGTGAATCTGAATGCAAACAGTCATCAAGTGATTAACAGGTGGGTAACATATACAGTGTGGATCTGCAGCACAAAGGGCTGGCTCATGTCCAACTGGGGACAATGTGTGAGATTTCATCTCGCTGTTCAGAACAGAAAGGAATTTAAAACTCATGAATTGCTTACTTATGGAATTTTTCTATTTAATATCTTCAGATCATGGTTGATCATGGATAGCTGAAACAAAGGAGACTAAAATCACGGAGGAAATGGGACTACTAAATAGGCAACAGTCTTCAGAGACATAAAGTGTGCCTGGGAATGTTTCATAGCCTTCCCTCCAGGTTCAGGTTCTAGGTATATATGCAGTGTTCATTTCCCTGTCAGCCTGGCATTTCCCATGTCACTCTACATGAGAAATATGGGGTGTGCCCATGGCTGTAAAAGTAGTGGTGGTGTCTATGTTAATGTTTTGTCCTCAAAATGGAGTCAGGGTACTAACCCAGTCAATGAACTTTTTATGCAAAAGTTCATATCATCCTCACCACGTGCACCACGGACGCACTATCCTGCCTCTTCAGATGAGCTAGGCATGGGAGATTTAGCACCAAGGACCAAAGGAGAAATTTCAGAGGAGGAACAGAGTGACAGCTTATGGGTCATCTTCAACTTCACTTTGTTTCCTGAGTTCTTAGAAGCATTGGAGCTGGATCAAAATCAATCACTGGCAAGAAAGGCTCTTTAAACATTCCAAATCTAAAAGGGTTTCAATGCTTCTCTGCAAAAGCATTTAGGAAATAGTAATTTATAACAAAAGCACCCTCCGAATCATTCACAGCCAAGCGTAATTGTAGGAACTCTTTAATACACACTTCACGGTGGTAATATTGTCACATAGCATTTGAATGAACAACACAATTTGGGCAAATTAATTTCTCAAAACACTTATCCTGATACTGTTTTAAAAATCCACACTCTGTGCATTAACTTTCCTGAGCTGACAACTTTGCTTTTGGAAGGAATTAGAACAGAGCAAAATATGAGATTATCTCATTTGCAGAAAGCCTCCGGACTTTGACTTGTGTCAAGGTCTCCAATTTAACTAAATAACTGAACTACCATATCCTTGCTCTGAATTAGAGTTTTGACCCAAAGAAAACCACAAGCCCTAAATTAGCATAAACTGGCTTTAATTCGCTGAATTAAACACGAGGACTGTACTAATTTTAAGGGCATGTGAGTTAAGCAGATTTTGTTGTTATCAAGAATGAACAAATTTGAACCAGGAAATAAAATAAATAAATACAGAAAGAGAGAGAGAGCTGGAACTGGACCAACATTTCAATCACGAGCTCTAATGCAGCACGTGTTTTTCAAAAGTTTACGCAATTTTATTCAACTCTGTGCCCATCTCCTAATGATCATATTTAAGTATAAGAAGGCAACATTCTATCCCCACAGCAAAGAAAGGGTTTTGCTCAAAAAGTTGAAACCCAACTTTCTCATACATTTGATCTGTTAAAAAACATGATAGAGGCTCAACTGAAAGAAAAATTTCATTTGAAGGGAAAAAATTATGCATATACATATAAATATTTCATCTAAAAATTTGATAAAAACATATTTAAAGGGAGAGACTCAGTATTCTGAGGTGGCGTTAAATTAATCTGATGTATTCCAACCACAGTGAAACAGCTTTTTTTATTGCATCTCTTGTGCACTAACATTCATGTACCTTGGTTTCTAACTCAATTAAAGTGCCAATATAATCCCCATTCATCATAAAAACCGCTCTTTATAACGTGCAAAATAGTTTGGCTCAGAGGTTGATGTCATAATGAGGGTAGAATGTATGAACATTAACATCGTTTTTTTCTAAGTGTAGTTTTATTAGAAAAATGATTTTCCACTTTGAAATTTACTGAGTCTAACAGACAGAGTTGGATTTATGGCTGTTAACAAGAATTACGAGTAGAGCAGAGGCAGCATAATGAAGAGCCCGGCTCTGGAGTTGGCCGGAGCTGAAAGCACACCCTGCCCAGCAAGGCTCCTTCTGCTCTCGGCCAGCTGGCTGTGTAGCACCCAGACGGGCTTGCTCTTGCTCCACTGGGACCTGGGGTGACATCTCACCCAATTGGTGTGAAGATATTTTCGGTGTATGCAGACCCTAACCATAATACCAATCCCATGGGAAACCCTATGCACGTTACTATATATATATATATATAGCCAAGGATTTATTCAGTATGTAAAACAATCCAAGACATTTTCAAGTGTGTTCTAGTGAATGAGTGGATTTTAGAAATATTGGAAAAATTACATGAGCATTAGCTTCGGAATCAAAAAGCTAAAGCCAAGTCCCACAGTCTCCAGTAGTTAGCCTGAACATCTTCAGGAAATTGCTGCCCCTCTGAGTTTTGGGCTCTTGTCTGGAAGGGGATTATTATAAGAACCAAATGGGAACACCCTGGACATTGGCATGGGGATGACAGAGCGCTGAGTTCACATTCTTTACGGAGTTCCCCTCTTGGTATT